GCTTGACATTTATTTTTCTAGCGGAATCTACATTTAATTTTGGATTGCACGTCGAAAGAACGGTCAGAGCTTGCTGAAAAAACTACCCGAAAGTATGTTGTATCTATTTAACAGAAATGAAGTTGTTTCATTCAGTATTGATATTATTTTGATATTTTTTGGTTATATCTGTACTTTCGGAATAGGTACAGACTGAGCAATGTCAACCACTGTACTTGATAGTATTTACATTGCTTCTAGACATATCTGCTATGGATAGGAAAGTTGGACGATGCGATGATGAGATTTCGATTCTCTGCCTGATGGAAATATTCGTTACCGTGAACAAAGAATTTGGAACAATCATATCATTTTTCTCTTGTCAGCAAAATATTTAAGTATATCGATGTTCTATTTCTAAAATAAAATTTTCAGACACGTTACGTATGCAATCGGTGCTTTTTTCGATCATTTATCTACGTTCTCGTAAACCAAGTAAAGTGAATATTATATTGGCTTTAAACTCCTTTTTAGTACTAAATAGGCTTTTTGTCATTTATTCTTTAAATTAAAAAGAAATACTGTAATACATTTCCCCGTTGTGAAATAGTTGGAACTTGTGGTCTACAGAAGCAAAAATGCTGCTGAACAAAACTTCTAAAAAATGATTTTCCAAAAAGTAGCGGGGACACGTCTTGGGAGTATAAAGAAAACTCTCGTACAACTCTGCAATAAATTAATTTTTTTAAGACGTTTTTACAAATTCTGCAATAACATAGAATAGTATATAAGGGGCACATATTACAACGGTTCTTTTCATAACAAGAGTACAAAAAATGTTGCAGGTCCAGAATGCAATATCTGAATAGCAAATGTTTAATCGCGCGCTTCTTCTTTTTTGGTGCATTGGTGTCATAAGACGTCAGCTGTGTCATAAACAGAGACGTACAAAGTATGACAATTCAATCGGCGCGTTTAGTGTGAGAATATTCAAATTTTGCATATTTCAGTCAAAATGGAATTTTTTTTCTATTTTTTCTGTCAAAGTTCCTGGGTATTTAACGAAACCATAGGCGTCTCTCACATGAATGATGGCTGCACAGTTTTCTTTCAATTTATGCGTGCATTGAAAACCTTAAAAATAGGTTAGTTGGACCCGTGCTAACATCCCGCATAACGTAATTTATAGTTTTAATAATGAAATTAGCTTTGTACTGGAATCTATTTCAAACGGATAATGAAATGTTAAATGAGTGAATATGTCACAAAATGAATACGTTCTGATACTTAAAAAGAATGCTGATATAGGTTGTTCAGTTTTTTAGATTCTTTAAGACATGTGCTAAAAATTGTGTTCATACTGAAAAAATATAATGAAAAAACCGGAACAAGAATTCTGAAACATGAATGCTTCGCCAGTCTTCTTCTTCAAATGGTATTTATTCTATCTTAGAAGTTTTTTTCTAAGATATATGTGTACCTTACTATTCAGAAAAAAAACTTCCTTTTTTTAGTTGAATTCAATGGACCTTTAATATTTGTGTATGGTTACATTTGTGTATGTAAGAGCAACGTAATGAGAGTTTTGTGTCAAGGTTTTGTTGTCTCATCTTACGACAAGAGAAATCCTTAGAACTGAATGGAAATCCTTAGAACTGAGACACATTTTATCTTAATTTGGAGTGTTGTGCTTACTCTTATCTCGCGCTTTTATTTGTTTCGTAATTGTAATTACAATGCAAAAACTTGTAACTCAATTACATGAACGTGACGGGTTATATTTTTTTTTCTGTTCCACGGTGAAGTGCCAGCGAGCCTCCAAAACAAATTTGAACTGTGAAGCCGATCAACGGACTGCGGTTTCGTTTTGCTGGTAGGTCCGAAGCTCTTATACAATTTCGGCGCGCGGGTGGAAACATCGCTTCACTCAAAATCATTCGTGCAGCTTCGACCTTCCGAGAGCGTCACGTCACGAAGCGGCAAGGGATTTTTTTTTTCTTTTTTCTTTTTTTTTTTTCGGGAAGTTGGAATCCGATAGAAGGCAGAGGTTGAAGGAGGGCAAGAGGGGAGGGGAAGAGGGAGCGGAGTGAGGTGTGGGGGTGGAGATTGGACAGGGGAGCGAGAAAGCGGAGGGCGTAATCGGAGGGGAGGGGGCGCGTGCTGCGTGCCCGCTCAGCCACTTAGTTCGCCGCTTCAAATAATAATCGGTCAGTTCCGCGAAGGTCTGTTTAATTATCCTCTAGTAAGGCTGCCCTCGTGGAGCGCGAGTGATTTTGTTTGAATTCTGGAAATCAGACGCGTCGCCGCTTTGAGCTTCCCGATTGACATCATGTAGAGACCTTTTAATCTCACGAATGTAATCCTAATTAAAAACTCAGCAACATTGCTGGGACGAGGGAAGAGCCGAATTCTGGCCCTCATTTCTCTCGCAGCGTTTTGTTGGAAGCGACTGGGCAACGTTGCATCGTACTGAATTGTTACATCAGAAGAATTAGTTACCTTCATTTTCATAAAATGGGCGTACTGTTTGTGAATAAAAATTGTTTACACGTAAGAGAGTAAAATTTGCTTTCACATAACTCATGAGGACAACGTAGTTGATAATGTTATCCTTAGTTTCATTGTGCTCGTTTCATTTTGTTAAATAAATATTTTATTATCGTAAATATTATTAGTTTATACTGGATTTGGGTTACTATGTTTTACTGACAAATATTTTTTACATTTGGACTCTCTTACAAGGTACTTTGTATTCAGTAATTCGTTCTAGAAAAACTGTTCGAAAGTAATTTGTTGACATTTACTGTGGGTTTGGCAGACAACCTAAATACATTCCTTATAAATGGAATGATATTTCCACCACTTATATCAAAATGTACATTTTAACTACGTTTCAATATTAATAATTTGAACCAAGTATTACACATGAATATTACACTGTATTCTTAAAATATCTGGAAGAAAATGAGTGAAGTAGTTTGGGATATTACGCTTTCCTGATTTCCACGTATGCGTTTTCAGATGCAATCGTTTCAATTCTATGCTGACTCTTCTGAGAAACGGAGATCGTATCATAATGCCATTAATTAGCGATGAAAATAGAGAAGGACATCTAATTACGTCTCAGGGCTTAGAGGCGACACCTAGATCGAAGTGCTTCGTGGTGAACATAGTAGAGTAGTCCAGGTGATTGCCATTGCTAAAACGGGAATAAATCTATTCACCGCGTGAGCGTATGTTTCTTCCAGTAATGTTCTCCAATCTTCACTTGCCGTTTCTTACTTTTAACTACCAATCATTACGGCAATTACGGGTTTGAATTAACGCAGCAGTGCACAAAAGACATCAAATCTCTTGATTTACGGAGCTCGGCCTGCTTGGATAGTTCTGTCGAGTTTGGTATACTTAACGTTCTTTATTCATTAAATGATTCCACTACTGCAGTTAGATTGTTCACATAATTGAGTGATGATAAAAGTTGTTACAAAATAGATGAAATTTTTCTTTGTGTACTAAGCACTTGTCCCGTGTAAGACATACATTGCATTGACGTTTTTTGACGATAGTGTCCATCCAGAAGAAAGAGCGAAATACACATACGCATTTTAAATTAATATATGAAGTAGTTCAATTAATAAAAAATGAAATTATAAAGTGAAATAAAGTCATAAAAATAACATTCCTAATTATAAACAATACAGCATTCTTCGAAAAAATGTTATCCCTGAGTAGAATGATGTAGCAAGAACTTGCTATAATTGCCACTGGAAAGCGTAGTGCAAGGAAAACTTATTCAGTTTGTTCTTTTAATTCACGTTCAATATATTATTTATTTGAAATGGATAATTGTTATACAAAGATGCCGAAAATTATTACGTTTCACCGACAGGTGTTTGTTAATTTGTGTACTTCAGAGGTATTTTCAACCTTTAGAGAACGTACAATACGTCAGTCAGAGTCTTGCTGCTGTTCGGGTTGTGATTCACGAAAAGAATCTACGAATTGCTTCATAACTACGCGCCGGTACAAGTACCACACCATCGCGCGCGTAAGACGCTTGGAGATGGCAAAGATTCTCTTCTGCCTTCCCTGTTGCTCTCACGCGCGCGCGCACGTGCTCATATATATGACGGTGGCCCTCGAGCTCTCTACGTGTCCGCCGCCGTCAAGGCTTGCTCCGTAACGACAATCGATGGAGGCGCTTTGACCGCCTTGGTCGTTGGCTGGGTCGATCGATCAGTGCTCTACCCATATGCTCCCATTGAGCAAGCCAAGAACTGGAAACCTAAATTCATTCTACCTAGTAATATTGTGTCAAGACATGTAAAGGGAGTGGAGACAAAACGAGTTTTTTTTTCAATGTGAATGTTGCATAACTGCGCCTTCAATACAAAAGACCGTGGTAAAATGTGTCTTCCTGCATCATTTTGGAATTAAAGTTCGATTACATTTATGGCGACTCTAACCATAGTTTCTGACTTGTCTCCTTAAGTTGTTGTTTTTTTTACACTAAACGACCTATCTCTCTTTATTGTTAAGATTTCGTTGTAAATGGTAGAAGCGTGAAATACATTATTCCTTTCTGTTCTAAAAAAGTGTAGACGTTTTGAAAATTTACCCTGGGTGCCCTTGCAGACTGGAGAAAACAAGTGTAATTAAAATTGCTATATTGTATGTATTGTTTTTAAGTTGGGGAAAGAGATAAATAGATTTGTGCAATGTATATTTGTAAATATTAAATTTGTCTTCTTATAAAAAAATATTAAATTTGAGTTCTTTACAGAAGCCGTACGTGTACTGTAGCCGAGGAATAAAGTTACTTTTTAATACTTCGATATAATTGCACTTTATTAACTGCAATATTTTTTGTAAATAACTCGCTTAATAAGTTGTTACATTTAACTCTGAAATTTTTGCCGTTTATTTCATTGTTTATTAAAAATTAGTCCAACGATTTAATATTAAATACTGTGATTTTTATTTTTTTGATTATTAAATAAAGTCCTGATTTTTCTTTGTAGATTTTCGACGATCACCGAAATATACAGAAAAGACAGTGAACCAGTGTCCGAAGGTTGGTTACAATGACATAAGTAATTTTAGAATGACCATCTTATAACTTATTCTCTTAGCGTCTTCTTTTAAAAATGCGATAAATCAATGTTTTGTTTTTTTTAAGAAATTCTGGTTTTTGTAATACTCTCTACAATTGTTGGGCAGGCAAAGCTGTTAATTTTTGTCTATTCATTTGTGAAAGATTTTCTTATTAAATGGTAATTGCTGTTGAAAACGGAAATATTCTGAAGGTAATTTTGCAATAAAACGAATTAAAATTATGGTTTTTTGTTTGGTTCATTCAGTTTTTCTAAATTACTCTACTTTTCCTACCTCCACGTATAATGATTCACATTACATGATAAAACACGTAAACTGAAGGGAGATTAAACGACAGTCGTGAGCTGAAGAAAGAGTGAAGGAAGTTTGCTATATATCATAGTAAACTATAGTTCGCACAGTACGTATGCTACATTTTTTACGGCTGACACTCAAGTGACGCAAGTTGCTCGTGTTATTGTTGAAATAACGAATACAAGGAAACGAAGAGACGGGTGTGATGAATAATAGACGCTTTACGTATAGTGACGTAATGGACGTCACATAATGGAGAAATGCGTTAGTACGAACATTGTATTGTCGGAGACATTGAAGGTGTTAGGAAAGCCAGCGGCACTATGAAGCTAGTTGCATATGTCGTCCTTGTGGGTACGGCTTCAGAAAGTTAGAACGCCAGAAGCAGGAAGTAATTTCTTAATGAGCTTTCTTTCTCGATGTAGGAAGAAAACTGTAATCGTGCGTTCCCTTCATTGGCCGCGAGTAGGTTCTTGAGGTCATTGTTACTGCGGCGCGACGTGCCATCTGTTAAATCGTGCCATTCTGTTAAATCGGGGTCACGGTTTCAAACACTCGCTGCGACCGTTGAGTCTCAGATACGATGATTCTGTCGACTTTTATCTTATACAACATAGTACTCGTATACATTTTCAAGTAACACCCAGAAATTTTTGGTTTGCTTTAATTAAAAAGACACCAAATGTTTGTATCATTCCAAACATTCATGCAGTTATGTCATTCATTTTCCGGTGTTTCTGGAATTTCAAAAAATACAGTAATCATGCTATAAAGTATTTCAACGCTTTCAAATCTGCTTCTGTGTATTTTCATGTAATGTTTGTAAGTAGATTTGCTGCGTTAAGTATATTATTAAGATGTGTGATTGTACCTGCAGAACAAAAGCGAACGTCGTGTTCATTCTCTTGTTTTATTATTTTAGTCCCCGTTCGTTCGTACCCCGCGATCGTATCCACAGTTAGTCGCGTAAGAGATCTTAAAAGTTATGCTCCGGATAAGAACCTGCCGTCTTAACCATGTCTGCACGTCTCTTCTGACCGCCGCACAGGGTGAGCGACTGTGTTCGTGGTTGATCTCGTTAATCATCGCCCTGCCTACTTTCGGAACTGCCAGATTCTCGCTGTGTTGTGGAAATTATGTTGCGTTCTGTCTCGCATGGAGTGCATATTCTGTGCGCTGTTTTATGGTATGCTCCATTTCCAGATGTTCGTGAATCGCTACAGGCACGTAATTCAGCTCATGGCGTTTTTTTTTTAGCGGTGGTGTCGTGTTTGTGACAAATAGACCATTCCGAGCAGCGCTGGAGTCAGGTTGATTCCGAGCATTGGGAGTTGTGGCGAGCGCGATAAAAATTTCGTTCACGTCCGCGCCTTATTATTCGGGAAATAGAGCCGGGGGCTCTGCGAACTATGAATGACGGTCGCGTAGCGGCGGGGCTCGCGTCAGCGTTGGGCCGCGCGGCGTCGGCTGGAGGCGTGATTGTACCAAAGAACGGGCGAACGGCGGCGGCGGCGGTGGCGGTGGCGGAGAGAGGGCGGCGACCGCGCCGGCGGTGTGTCCCTGTAGTAATGACATTCTCAATTGAAGGGCGCACAATGGCGGCGACGCACGCATGTAAATGGGATGCAAATGCCCATTGTGCGGCGTATGTTTATTACAGTTTCGCACTTGTTAGCCGGATCGCGCGCGCTGCCAGCTCGCGCAGTGCGTGGCTTTGCGCGCAGGCCCTCGCGGCCCCTCGCCTGCCCCTTCCTGCCGCGTCCTGGACGCTAATTTTCACCTTTGGACCTTTTATCGTGCCCCTTCCTTTCCATCTCCTTCCGTCATGCGCCTTCGCCTTACGGCTTCATTTCGTGCGTTGCTCCCCGCCTCTCGCCGTGTTTTCCCTCTCTACCTTCTGCTTTTGGCATATCACGACGTCCATTATTCGTTACTTAGGCTTTATTTTCTTTAATAACCTCGTTTTTTTCCTGCGGAAAGAGTTCGGACGCTCTTTTCTACATTCCTATTTTGTTTTTTAAGTTATTCCTCACTTCTTCCCATCGCTGATTTACGAGACTTTTGAGGCTCTCTGAACACATCCAAACAAATTTTTCTGCACTCTGAAAGTGGCTGTACCATGCGTACTAACCACATTATATACAGTACATCTCTCTTACTCTGGTACTCCTCACACGTCTATCCTTTCAGTTGAACCGCTCATCCTTGCGACAACTGCCACTTCCATTTGCGGTTTCCATTTTGAACTGCGCGACTTTGCATGGTCTCACACGTCCGGTTTTCATACATTCACCACGTAGTTCACGTTAATTTTGACTTAACTCTGCCGTTATTGTGCAGTGAGCTGTGCCTGGCTGGATTGTTTCAATAATGACTCTTGGAATGGGCGAAAGGGCATTGCTCTCTCAGTAGTTTACTGAAATTAATACGCCTCTGGAATGGTATTTCAGATTCTGAGCATATTCTGTTTATTGCGAGAGAGTGTAACGGATGAATAGCAAGCAGCCTCAAATATATTATTAAAAAAGCAGATTTTTGGTATATTCATAAGGTTATTAGGAATAAGTTGATACTGCGATATGTGGGAATGAGTCTTTAAAATTCCTTTCTGACTATTCAAATAAACACTGTATTTATTTCCTACATTGTCTACATATTTTAATTTGGGAAATGTGGTCCAGAACTGTCAGTTTTATTCGCGAGTTCATTGAAACGCTGAAAAACCACACATGTTAACTTTTTATTTGAGTCTAAACGAGCCAACATTTCGAGATCACATTTATTTCTTTATCAAAGCTAAAGAAAGTATTAAAATTGATTATAAAACAATGGTAGTTGATATATAATTAATAGTAAATAGAGAAACGACTAAAAGCAATAACATAATAATTTTTTATACAGGAATAAGCTGTAAACACTGCTTCATAACTTTAGGACTACTATACCAATGCTTCAATTCAGATGATTTTAACCGTACCCGAAACAAAACAGTACTTGTGCCATTAGAATTTTCATATTTTGCATATTGTTTTGTCAAAAATTTACTTTTGTTCATGCACATGAATTATAACAAAAAATAATCAGGGGGGTTATCTTACATAAACAGAAAATATGTGGCAGGTTTTCAAAGAAAACCAAAAAGTCTACTTTCGAAGAAATATCTTTAAAGTGTGTAATGGCGTAGAAGCTTCAGGGTTTCTAGGTTTTGCCTTTGTTTTGTATGTCTGTATCGTCTCTTTTCTTCTTCTCTCTTAAATATCGTCTCTCATTCTTATTTTCTGGTGTTTTCTGTTTCTAGCTTGTTTAATTTTGTAGGGGAACCACATCCCTTTTCGAAAAAGGGGCATGTTTCCCTCAACCAAATAAAAACAAAACGAAATCGTATAATAAACTGATTTTGCCATGTTAAAGAGAACATATCAAATGTTCCGGTTTTGTGAATGTCAAAAACGGTTGGTTTTCTTTATTTGTGATGTATACGTTAAGTACAGACGAGTCATATCAACAGAAATCGTATTCCGTTTCATGTTGGAGCAATCCAATGAGGGAAAGAACGGAATCTGCCCACGTCGGCATTTTGCTAAATGCCGGAGTCTCGTCGACAGCTAGTGGAGGAAGGAAAACGTCACAAAGGGATGCAAGGGTCCTTGAAGGAGACAGGAGGAAGGTAGGATGGGGCAAAGGGGAGGTAATGGAGGTTATTAATCATTGTAAGAAGATTCTATCTATAATTTTGGGAGTTTAAAAATTGAATCGAATTATTGCTCTGTAAATATCACAGTTGTTTATCAATAAAAAACAACTACAATTTTGATTTTAATTGCTCAAGTTCATTTAAAACGCACTATTGTTATATATTTACTAATATTATGTTCTAAGTAAACTTCTGTCATATATGAGCATTTTGAAAAACGACAAGTTATTTTATCATTATTGAAAGTTTAGTTTAAAATTGGCGCAATCAGATATGCTTTTTATTGGTCACTTTACCCAGAAGATTGTTGTGCAATAAACGATATGCACGAAAAAGCCTTTTATAATAAAAATTAGCATTTAGCACGAAGATACTCATTGCCAACAAACTGAATTAACCTTAAGCTATAGCCATAAACCCGCAGGATATTTTACGCCATAACTTAATTCAAGGCGGATCGATTTAATTACTGTGGGAAGATGACACGATACACATGTGAATCAACTCGCTGATAATACGAGCTTCTCCCATATTTCCCTGCCTTGTTGAAAGATGTGCATTTATATTTACTTCGTTTAATCTGTTTTCCTTCCCCAAACATTGATTCGCACTCAAATTCATTTTTATCTTTGACTAAAGAGTGATCTGATATTTATTCTTTGGTCCTTTTCCAAATTAGGTATAGGACCAACATTTAAACAGAAAATGGAGAAAATTTTCGAAATTTTTCAAAATGACTTCTCAAGTACATTTTATAAATTTCACTTTGTAAACAGTTCAGTTTTCAGGATCTAAAAAACAGAAATAACTGTACTCTTATCTAGCAGTTATTCATTAGTTGATTTTTCTAAATAGAAAAGTAGAATAAAGTCCACGTTTCATATTCATCAGAAAATATAATTGTCTGTAATATTTATATTAATGAATAGCGCAATCTCTTTTTTAAACACATCGAAATTCGCCTCGCAACTTGCTGTTATGTAAGGAAAGTAGAAATACAGAGGTAGAAATTATAAAGTACGAAATAGATATCGGGTTTTGAAGTTGAGTGCGATTAGTGCTTAGTTTAATTAAGTGTACTGCAAGAATCCGAAGAATTGAGACCTATCTGGGTTCGCTTTTGATTATGAGTCGCGGCTTGCCCTACAATCGTACTTCTGCTTACTTACGAAACACAAGTGCTTTTACGATCAATACTCGAGACAAGTCTATTTTGGTCAGA